GTCTTGCCTCAATTTGTAAAAAACCGCAATATCTGTGAAGTGCAATAAAGTGAAGTGCAATAAAACGAGGTATGCCTGTAATGGCCTGAGATGACAGTGGCCAGAGGAAATCCTACAAAGTTCACATTGAAGTCATACCTCAAGAAAATGAATGTCACCATCAAAAGTTGGGAAGAGCTGGCTGCTGACCAACCCCAATAATGCTGCATCCTCAATCAAGTGGCAGCCTGTTTCAATGTGAAGCACCTTGCCCACAAAGCAGAGAAGAGACAGTGAAGGATGTAAAAGGAGAGGAAACCCACACTTGTACTCTTCCCTGAGGAAAGACCAGCATCTTCTGCAGATGAATCTGTGGCAGGATTGGACTCTTAAGTCATCTCAAGACCCATCAATGAGCCATGGGAGAGGTCATCCTTAAATTGAGGGACTGTCAATGGCTAGTCAACCACAGTAAGATTGCTACTTAACATGCATGTGGTACCCATAAAAAGGAACCCTAAACTCAGCTGGGGATTCTGGGGCCTGTTGCAACACAAATAATTAACAATAGTGCCAGGAGAGGTTTCTAGAGTGGGAACAATGAAGCAAAACCCAGAAAAATTAAAACTAAATTCAGCTCCTCATGAGTGGCCACTCCCCATCAACAACTAATCATACCAGCTGGAAAGGGCAGCGTGACCACATATCATCATTCTCGGAGAGCGATACTGTATAGACCACAGTGGAACTTCTCAGTCTTACCTTTTTCAGTGCCATTCCCATCTTCTTCTAGGCTTGGAGTATGCACTAGTGTTCTGAATGCCACTCTTGAGGAATCTGATGGTGATTTGAAACAAACTATCTTGACAAGTCTGTCTGCAACGTGGTTGATGGTCTCTGCCCTAGCTGGGAGGAGAGAGAGAGAGAGAAAAGAAGAGCCACCTCCTTGTTAGGCCCTCAAGCAGGTGAGCCAAACTTCTACCTGTTGTGCCCACAGTTGCCCTATGGTGGAGAAAGCTGAGGTCCAGTGATGGATTTTGCTATTGTTCAGAGTCACATGGATAATTTTGAATGTACACCACACCCCCACAATGCTCCCCAAACTCTTATAGCCACTCCCCCAATTAGAGGCCATGCAAAAACTGGTCTTGATGTAATGAATGGGTCATGCCCAGCTTTATGAAATATACCTGTAATATGTTATAACAACAATCTCTCCCTCCTTTCTCCAGACTGGGCCCAAACTCGAGAAACCAAAGGAGTTTCACTTCAGAGCCTGTCTACATCAGCATGGGGCCACACATGCCTTATGTGACTAGACATTGCTGTGGACAAGTGCAACAACAGGTTTCTTTGGTCCAGCAGTTGGCCTTGCTTACCTACAGCAGCCAAGACTTTATCCAGGACCTTCCTGAGCTGCCGGCATCAGCTCAGACAGGTGAGCCAGATTGGTACTGCATGCTAGCTAAGCGAGGAGGAATAGCTGCTGTCACAACAGAGCAATTTCCAGCAGCAACTCATTTTGCATTTAGCCCTGATCAACCAGATGGCAGCTCCTGTGTTACCAGTAGACAGTGTGTGTGTACAATTTGCATAGCAACATAGGACCTCTACTGTGGAGTGCCTTGGTTAATAACAACCACTTTCACACCTTGTCCTGGATGACCCAGCACTGATTGGAGTTTTATAAACACTTTGTCTGGGAGTTGCTGGGTGGTCAGGACCTTTCCAAACAACAAAAACAAGCCAAGTTTTCCATGACTTAAACATGAAATTAGGTACCCAATTCTGGAAAAAAATTCAGTCCAAGGATTCATCCATTCAGCTGTGAACTGGCAAACTCTAGGACTGACATGCCAGTGATTTCAAAAAGCATACTCCATTTCTGTAGAATGCCTGAACCACTAATTCTCATCCAAGGTGTTGCAAAATATTAACATTGTTAGGTATGTAAATACCTGCACATAATTCACAAGATAAACCCAGAGATTTCAGATAGGAATCCAAAGTTTCAAAATTTCCTGACCTGTTGTGGTTTTTCTGAGTTTTTCACCACAGAAAAATTGCTGTTATTATAGTTAAAAGAGGGGTGAAAACAGAGAGCTGGCACATTCTGAGGGGTGCTTTGAGTCAAATAAGAGTGAGAACCACTGCCTTAAACACGCATTAAATGCCTTAGGCTTTGGCTCAGCAGTCTGCTCAAACACAACTGCAGCTTGAGTTTTGGGCCCAACACTTCCTTCAAGGAAAGCCTTTCCAAATGGCATTTTTAGTTGGGGTCATACTGCCACCTTCCGGCTGAACTATAATGGTATAGTAAAAGGAGCATCACATTTTTAAAGCAGAAAAGCCAAACAATTTGTCTCAATGTCTAGGAAGGAAGTAAAAAAAATATGGCACGTGCAGGTAGACAAGTGGCAACTAGAGATTATTCAGATTGGTGCCACTTATTCCTGACAAGAGGGATAGGAGGGAGGGATCTAGGCAGAGAATTCAACTGGAAGATGCTAGGAGGTCTGACATCTGGGGGAGTTGCTGGTTGGGAGCTGCTTCAAGGTGTTTAGGAGAATTTAGAAGATATCCGAGAATGAATGGTTTGGATACGTAACTTCTATATTATCTTACTTGTGCCAAATCAGTGTGGAAATTTTACAGAACATCTTACTACCATTTCTCAACCCTCGTATTTCAGAGCAAAAAACTAGTTCTCCAGGGAGACATGGTGGAATCAACACAACACCTTATAGAAAGGTATGGGGATCTATGGATTTTGAAGATGCAGTAAATTATGGATAATAATGAGCCAAGAAAGGCCCCCTGAATCTGAAGGCTGACATGGGCAAACAGATCTCTTGCTTATTGTGCAGCCAAGAATAGGCCAGCCACTTCTGCAGCAGGGTTTCCCCCTCCCAATGACCTTTGTAGGTACAGGACCCTTTGCTGAGGGGCAATCCATGTCCCACTCCTCCCTGTGGTTCCATGGAGATTTCTCAGAATCTACCTGTCTTAGGTTGTTATCACCCCTTGCCTCCTCACTAAGGGACTCTTCAAAGGGATTCTGTAGGGGAGGACCTGTAGTGGGGGACCTGTGTGGGAGAAGTGAGGGAAGGCTTGGAACAAAGCTACATTTGAGCCAACATGCCAGGGCACAGGGCATGCTAAGAATGCAGAAGGGATCGAGACGTGGTGCACGCATGGATTGCCTTAGCTCTGCAGATGGACAGAGCCCATGAATAAGCCTTATGTCATTCTTGAGTGTTGATGAAGGAAAGAATCTTGAGTGTTGAAGAAGACCTCCACAGTCCTTTCTTTCTGGTCTTACACAGGACTGGCAGTCCTACTATTGAGTTGTTTTACATTGGTGTTCATTACATCCTGTGGCCAGGTATCAGAGATAGTGCACCAGCACTTGGAAAACCAGATCTGTATAGCTGTTTTATTGTGGCAGGATAGTCATGGGCAGCAAGATGAGTTCACAGTATAAAGAAGCATGAATCTACCATATGTGAAAGGAGGTAAATGGCAGTGAGGATAGTCAAGTAATTGTTTCCTAGTTAAGAAAACCAAAACAGCTAGCATAAAATGCATTAAAACAAATACAGGGAAAAAAACTAGAGGCTGACCAGCCAGCAAAAGGAGAGAAACAGAAACCAAGTGGGTAGAGGGGAACGAACTAGCAAGAGCATTCAGGCAGTCAGAGGCAGATTAAGGGGAGGTGCACTGGTGCACTTGCACCCCTCTTTGATTCCTACTCCATCCAAAGTTTAAAGCCAACAGCCTAGTAGTGGCACCAGCATTTCTGTTCAGGCAGCAGTAAGGGAGTCACTAGACTTCATGTCTCATTAAAAACTGATTCCTTCTAAACTCTTCATTCCACAGGTGTTAATGACCCTTTTCTTTTTAATGGTCTTGATGTTCCATTAATCAAGCTAGTCTGCCTACTGCAATTCTGCTGTCTATTAGCTGCTCCTAATAATGTACCTCCTATTTCACAGTCTTGCAGGCTGTTTCTAACTCATTCCAATAAAGTTTTGTTCATTTTTGCATCAGTTTTAAAATTGAATAGTATCACCCTAGGCCCCTAGCATGTTAGCAAAGCTTCTAGTTTATTTTTAACTGGAAAAAAGTGTGTTGTGTTCTATGTGATGATGCACCACCTCACCATCTGC